ATACCCCAGAGAGATTTGCGCTCGAACTAAAAACTTTATCAACTGCAACGACCACATGGGATGACCTGCTTTCCAATGCAACATCTTCTGCAAATGTTATCTTTTAGCATTGATTAAATGAAAACATGTACAGACAAATTAGTTAAAGAATTCACAATAAAGTTTAGTCATGGCTTATAAATCACCTGAGATGGTCTTGACGAAATTGACTTTTTTGAGCCAGAACTACTACGCCTTGCTCCATTATCAACTGAAGACGGTCTAATTCATATGCGAAGTAAATAAACAATATAAACTTTGATTATGTGAATAAAAACATACATATAAAACATACATAAAAAGACTAACCTTGGTTGTTTTCTGGCATTAAGCAAGTCAGGTACTACAGTTTGATCCACACCAGTACTTATTAGCTGGAATCTCTCTAGTTGACTAACACAAGTCAAAACCTCTTGCCAGGATCCTTTCAAGTAATTTCCTTCCACTAATGCTATATCTAAAAGAGTCTTAATAGCATCTACGTTTTTAGGTTTCATTTCACCTAGATTGTTCAAAAACGTGAATTTTGCCAATGTAGTGACAAAAGCATTTCGTTCAAGTTCCATATCGAAAAGGCTTATGATACGAATAGCAAGTTTAAAGCCCTCCAATGCTATACTCGCAGTTTCAATATCCTCTGTGTCTTGAAGTGGACCTGATAATCCAGCAAGAACTGGCATCCATGCAACTTCAAACATTGGACGAACATGTTCAAAATGAGAAGCACTGTAAAAAGTCGTATTTGTGGTATAAATACCACGACGTTGTGCTCTCAGCATAGCCTTGAATAAGTTCTAAATTATGTAAAAGAAAGCCAAGTTATAAACTTTGATAGATGATATTAACAGATAATTAATTATTTAATATAAACCTCAGTTTTATTTGCCATCTCTTGGGAAGCAGCTTGATATGCTTCTCTTTTGAAATCTCTTCTAACATTAACAATAGCGCTACCAAAATTCGCAATACCAATTCCGCCTGAAGTCGGTGTCATTGGTTGCACCAACGCAGCATCTTGTTCATCTTTCATTTTTATCTCATCATTTTGTATTTCATCATATATTGCTGTTAGGTATTCTTCAGGTAAATCAGAGTTGTCATTTATTCCACGATTATTTTTTATGAATTCAGCTTTTGTCATGCGACGCTTTATTTGAGGATTGTGAAGATCAGTATTCAACATAATAACTGAATATGCAAGGACATAGGCGGTATCTAGAAATTGACAATGATAAATGTTTCATCGTAAAATGAAATAAATTAAAACATGTACATATTCCTATAGACATGTGAATGTATACATCCCATAACAATTATAGATGCTTTATAGTTTTTGTAGTGCAAAAAAAAAAAAAAAAAAACTCATATAATTTGTAAAGAATCATTATGGCATTCAGATGGATAAAAACTTTTATATTCTCATAGGATATGTACATATTATCATGAGTCAAAGTTAGGTACCTGCGTTAGCAAATTGTGTTGGGTTTCCATCTACATATCGTTCAGCAAATTTTAACATAAATCTATCAATTTTTTGAGCTTCACCAGGTAAACGGAAAGATTGTAAAAACTGCCGTAAAGCATCGACGAAATTCATATTTGAAAAATCCATTAAATCAACAAATGCGTGCATAGTTGCAATATTTTCTGTTTCACTAAAGTACCTCATTAAAGTTAGCTTAACTCTCGAGATGTTATAAAAATAAATGTATTGAAATTAGCTGATGCTGAAATTTTGTTCTATTAAAATTTATAGCGTCTAAGATCCAATTATACTCTTTTATTGACAATTTTGACCCTAAATACTAATCTTGACTCCAAATTCACACAAAGTTTAGATTTTAATTTAAATATTTCAAAACTTCAGCATCGGCCAATTTAGCATCAGCTGCATAATAATAATATACATTATTTACCCTTCACCCAAATATTCGCCAATCATGGTCTTGTTTAATCCTTCTGTATTTAACAAAAATTTTGCTATATCCAAAGGCTCAGTGCTAGGAATAAAACCCGCTGACGCCAGCGCTTGAATTCCCTATTAAAAGGGATACATTATTTTAACATATTTTCTATAATATTTTGAAGAAATATGGGACTTACCCTTTTTGGTTTGAAATTAAACGTTTTAATACCATCTTGAAGCACTTGTTTTCGATGCTTCAGGTTTTCAAATTGCTCTGGATCATCCATAGCTTTTGGAACTGCACTTTTTATGTCAGATGATGCATTAAAAAATGAACCGGATACTGACATTGTAGAAGATGATGGTGACGACTTGCTTGTATTTTGTATCGTAGCCGGATTTTGAGATAATGCTAACTCAGTAACAGTTTCTTCACTTTTCCTGGTTGATTCATCTTTATCATAATAAATGCCTTCCACAGATGATTTATTACTACACCAAGCAACAAGAGAACGTAAAATCGAAACAAGACACTCAAGTCCCTGATATTTTAATGCAAGTTCAGCAGGGAGATTTGGGTGGGATTGTGATGTAGTATTAGTAGTTATGGATTTTGTATCAAGAGATGGTGGAATTACATTTGTAGATTGCGTTGATGTACTAGGAAGCGATGTAGCGGATGAATTAGGATCTTTATCTTTCTCAGAGTTGGTGGAGGACGATCCACCAGACGATGAATTTATTGTAGTGTATGTTGTGGTAATTTTTGAAACAATATTTACAATTCTAAGATAATAAATTTAAATTAGCAAAGCTGTCACTTTTAAAATTATATGTCAGTCTGAAAATAATTTAAAAGCACTTGCCGCTCATATGTATTATCTAAAGCTTCTCTATCACAGTCATAATTTAAATAAAGCTCCACTAGAGTTTGAGGTTCGCTGCAAATCCTTGAGAGGATATTCATTAATGCATATTTATGTTTCATTGAAGATGTCCTCATTTCTAATATTGGAAGAAATATTTCCTTGAAAAATACTTCTATTTCCTTCTGCAAATTTGTATTTGTGACAATAAAAAGGGTAGAAAATGAATTGAATTATAGATGTATGAAATGGACAAAATATTAATGAATTATAACACTTGTCGATAACAAACTATATTGGGTAAACTATTACCTTCAGATGACTTCTTAATTTATTCATACATTTCCAGAAAATTTCAAGGCTAATTTCAAAAACCTGAGGCAAAGGGCTCACAGCGTTTCTACTCAAGCTCAAGCATAAATATTGCTTGACTGCTTGAACGAATTGAGTGCTCTCTTGTTTAGTAGATGACACAAATATAACATTTGGAGAAGAAAATACATGTGTATGTGTGTTTAATGTTGCCAATATTAGATGTAATGACAAAAGCTTTGATCGCATTGGAGGAGATTTTAAATCTTTAGATGCTTCAGCAGACATGGGTTTCATAGATAATTTGCATAAAGCACGAAACACGAGAAAAGCATCTTTAACATATAAATCATCCCGACTAACAGTATTAGCTTGGTCGAGGGTGGTCACAGTAACAGATGAATGATTCTCAGAATCTCTTTAAAAGTTTAAATAAATATGAGCGAGTATTCAATAGAAATCAGTGCTAATAATATAGTATTCTACGAAGACATACGATAATATATTTTTTTCTGCCGAAAATTCTTCGGGGCCTTTAAAATCCACCATTTCTTCTTCAACAGCTTTCACA